TGTCCTGACCTGTCTGGAAAAAAATTACTTCAATTTAACCCCCAAAAATGTCATTTTTACCTCAAAATGGTGATTCCCTCCCTTAAAGATTACCTCCTTGGCTATACCCGGGGAAAAGGTGAGGAAAAACGCCAACATTCCAGAGTTTTTTTTTTTTTTCCAGCAATATTTTAATTACAGGACAAAGAAGCTGCTACGTGAATATATATTTATATAATAAATCCGTAAAGTTATAAAGGAAACCGGAATTTTTTGCTTCCCGTCAAAATTTTCCAGGATCAGGCGCTTTATTGGGTGGATTTCTCTATGATTTTTCTCCTCGTTTCTCTCTATTTTTCATATTTTTCCACAGTTCTCCTTATTTCTCTATTTTTCTCCTTGCTCTTCTTTATTTATCATTATTTTCCCGTATTTTTCTGCATTCCTCCAGATTTCTCCATGATTTTCATTTCTCTCTTAATTCTTCCACATGCTCAACACTTCAATTCTCATTTTTATTTCCTGATTTTCCGTCTCTCTCTACATTTACCTCCACATTTCTCCACATTTTTCCTCCTAATTTTTTTCCCTATTTCTCCACTCTTATTTCTCACTTTTTCCCCCCTTTTTTCCCCCCTATCTTCCCCATTTATTTTTTTTTTTTTGGTCCACAAAACGCTGCTCCGAGGTGGGAATGTGAGTGAAAAAAAAAACCAAAAAAACATAAAAATAAAATAAAAAAAAAACCCCACCACCCACATCAAAATCCCAAATTTTTCCCCTGTGGAAAACCCATAAATTACCGTGGCGGGACAAGAGGTGGGGAGGGGTGTGAGCGTGAGGGAACCCTCGGGCTGCGCCGCTTTGATCCCGTGAAAAATAACCGGAATTTCTCTTTCTCTCATTACCAAAAATAACCATTTCCGGGCGCCGCCGGAGGAGGAAAAGCGGGAATGGCATCCCGAAATATCCCAAGATCAATCAAGTGTTGCATAGAAGGAGCAGGGGGGTTCCGGCGGGGCCGGGCTCAGAGGTCGCTCTCGCCGTAGAGGGCGGTGGAGAAGGATTTGTAGTCCAGGGCTCCGGGGACGCCGTCGGGGCCGGGGTAAGGAGCCATGCGGGCGATGCAGTACTCGGCCTGCGCCGCCGGCAGCTCCCGACGCAGCTCGGCCGCCGTGATGTAGTTCTGGGGGTGTTGAAAGGAAAATAAATGGGATTTGGGAATGGCACGGAGCGGTTTGGGAAAGGGAAGATGGGGATTGGGAAAGGGAAGTGGAGTTTGGGAAAGGGAAGATGGGATTGGGAAAGGGAAGTGGAGTTTGGGAAAGGGAAGATGGGATTGGGAAAGGGAAG